GTGTGTGTGTGTGTGTGTGTGTGTGTGTGTGTGTGTGTGTGTGTGTCTGTGTCTGTGTCTGTCTCCTGGGACAGCTGTGCGAACAACAGGGCTAGAGCACACTAATGCATTTCTGTTTTCATGTACTATCTTTATTAGCAGCATAGGTAAATTTCTCAGTACATTTGCTACTCTTATTGAGTGGAGGATGGCAAGCAATTTTTTCTTGCAGTCTATTCTTCTTTCTTAATGATATACTTACCCAGTAATAAAGCAGGTAGATTTATTAGGCTGTTACCTGCAGATACTTCTTTTCCCTGTCTCCCTTCACTAGTGAGTCTTTTAAGATAGTAGAAATAGCTACTAACTCCTTTTTTGGGGGGAGGGGGTGTTATAAAAATATTAAATGAATGTATCTGTTAACACTTGAATAGGGTTAAAGTCAAAGTCTCTTTATTCTTCAATAAGTTAAACCATTTTCTTTATTCTTTTTTGTTTATAGAATATTATTTTTAGTAGAGATCAGTTCTTAATCTTTATTAGCATTTTGTCATGTTATAATTAAAATTAAGTACACATTTTTTTATTTTTGAATTACAGTTGATGTCCAATATCATATATTAATTTTGGGTGCATAGCGTAGTGGTTAGACATTCACATAACTTACGAAGTGATCCCCCTGATAAGTCTAGTATGCACCTGGCACCATACATAGTTATTACAATATTATTGACTATAGTTCCTATGCTGTACTTTACATCCCTGTCATTTTCCATGTTCTTTATAAGAGGAACTTAACCATTAACCTTTCCATTTCTAGAGACTTCCTTTGACCTGAACTAAGATGTATTAGAGAAGAAGAAAAACATCATAAAAGTCAGATCCTGGTATTTTGCAAGAATTTTCATAATCAGAAATGTTCTTATTTCTCTTCTTTCTGACTATCTAATATTCTCATTTCTGCTTTGAATTTTTACATCTCTCCCAATATATATGGTCTGCAGAGGCTTATAAGACTGTTTTTTCAGAATACCTTTCATTAATCCTATTTATAAATTTACTTTTACTTTATAGCTTTCTCTGTCTCCAGACTCTTCTTGGTCATCTCTTCAGTGGCATTATCCAATAGCTAGTGCCATTTAACAACAAATACTCTACAGACAATATATAAGAAGTATTGCTTTGATGGAAGCTGTTAATGTTTATCATACAAATAATAACAGTCATATGGAAAGAGACAGTTAGCCATATACATTGGAATCTAGTGATACATGATCTTTAATGGGTGTGATTGTGTAATTGCAGAATGTAGTAGTTGCCTTCATAATTTCTACCTCTATATTCTTTTACTAGAATATTATTTATCTGTTGTCTTAATCTTATATAATATCATAACATGCCCTGAGGCATAGATTTCTTAGTTACGTAATCTAAAAATCTTACCTACTATTTGCTCCTCTTTGAAAATAAAGTGGTGTGTGTGGATGCAGGGATTAATGCTCTCCATTCAGAAACTGTATAGGAAATTAGGCAGCTGCTGTCCTTGGTGATGAAATTATTTTATGTGCATTCATAAGGAAAACAACTAGTTAAAAAGGCAGAATAATCCTGAGTATGCTGTTTGTGGCTACTGTTGGTATCTTCGTAGATCTATTTGAACTAGGAAAGTGCAGACTCCAGTATCTTAATGTCTTGAGTTCCTGACTGCCAGGCAGAGGAAATGTTTAACTATTTTAATCATGTTTCTGTATCTCAGAAAGAAAGCCCTTATGAGAGGAAATGACAACGTCCTACTACAAAGTTATCTCTTATCAGTTATAGTCTCAGTCGATAATGATTTGTCAAACTTGGACATGTGTAAAATGCAAGGGCTGTGTTATTTACTTTGGAAAGGAAAAATTAGATGAAGCTGATAACAGCGGAGTCATGGCTTTTGTTAGGAGACAGAAACCATTAGAGACAGTCATTGTTAACTTAGGAAAGTGTCCTTGGACCCCTCCCTCTGCCCCCACTGAAACCTAAACCTGCTTGAATCATTCTCGCAACTTGAGGGGAGGGAGGGACAAAAAGGGGAAGAAAAATGAAGACAATTTTGACAGAGATTTAGCATTTTGAACAGGGAGCAAAAGGTGGACCTTAAAACAGACCTATTTATGTGAGTCGGATAAAACTGCCTTTTGTTCTCTTCCCCACCCCCATTTATTTAGATTTTTGAAAGTTCATTTCTTATCCTTCCAAACGGGTAGCATTCCTTCACATACAGTGTAGGTTGCTCTCCTCTTTTTGCCTTTCCCTAGATGTGATTCTTTTTCATTAGTGGAAGTAGAGAAAACACATCTAGCTCAGAGCAACATGAGTCAGTGCGTGCTTTACATACCTTTCTCCTCACAGCACTCTTCTTGGTTCCTCACAGTGTTCCCACTGTTCCTCACAGAAGGGAGCATGGAGGAAAAATGATTTCTAAATAGTAGGCTATTTTGGAGGTGGAGGTAAAGTGTGTGAACCGAAGCCCTATTTTGCTCCATCTTGTCTAGATTTCTGTGCACGGCTTTCAAAGCAGGCAGTCATGTGCATAGAAGGGCTTAACTGGATTATGGTTTCAGAGGCTAAGAAACAGCAAAACCAATACTTCCAGGTCAGGGTACTTTAAACAGTTTGAAGCTGAGTGTGATGATGTCAAGTCAGTCTCACAGAGAATAAGTTTAGCTATTAATATTTGGTGGAGGTAATGGGAAAGGTCTTTGTCTCCTGTCTAAACATATATGCTTTTTAGTTGGCCCAGATAAACCAGTCTTAGTAGCCATTTAAAAGGACCCCTTTTGCTTATTCATCACAAATTTTTAGAGAAATTGTCTCCTAATGTGGATGTTCATTCTATAAGGATGTGAAAAGGCCAAGGCTCTGTCTGAGGAATGGCTAGAAGCAGTTTCCTTTTGAATTAAACTATGGCTCTGACTCAAAGCCAAGCAAAATAAATAAACTCCTCAAAGAAGAACATATAAACAAAGTTGTGATTGAATTTGTTATTCAAAATTAGGTAAAGAGAATTTCCTTAAACTTTTTATAAATATATATTTATAATAAATAACTTTACAGTCGTTAATCCTAAATGAAATAAAAAAGTTTTATTTCCTGTACAAACTAAAGTTTTTTTTATGTGTTTCTTCCTTGTCTTTTTTTATATGCATGTTTAATTTTTATGTAGTTTAAATACTATTATGAATATAATTTTATGAAATTTTTCTATTTTTCTTCTTTTGAGGTTGTCTTTTCCTTAGCTGTAGTTTTCACTGGTAGCCTCTGGTTTTCTGGAAAGATAAAATAAATTTCCATTTGCAATCAAAAAAGAGATACTAAAAATGCATTAATGTTGTCAATTCAAATAAGAGTGCGTAAAATGGTCACTTGTTGCCTCTTTTTGTGTTATTAAGATGAAAATGACTGTACTCTTAACATTACAACTTTTATGTGCTTTTTAATCTTGCTTTTTTTTTTAAACTACATGTGCCCATCTGTCCATAAACTGTTTTCTCAGTAATTTTGCAATGCCCACTAACTTTTCTAGACACTTTTTTTTTTTTTCAAAGTAAAACTATGCTTAGGCCGTAATGTAGGATCTTGAGTACCTTACTGTCAGTCTTTGCATTTACATAATAGCTTGTTTTGAGTACTTACGAAATATATAGCGTTATGAGGTTTTTAAACATAGAGATTTAATCTCTGCCTTTATGGATGTAAAGCAAATGAACAAAACTGTTGATAAATTTGAACCAGTAAATACAGAGATGTGATGGTTTTGGAGGGAAAAACTACACACAAACTTCTGCTTTTGTCAGTCCTTAACATCTACCTCTCTGAATTTTCATGAATTTCTATTTTACAAGGGTAATTATTTTATATACACTGGCGGCAACATACAATAAAATACTTAGTAACTAAAAAAGAAATTGTAGAATGAGTAGATTTCATTAGGGAAGGCATCTTGGCAACGAAGCTATGTCCCAAAAGAAGAAATGAGACTTACGTTATGAAATAAGAGAAACTGACCTTGTAATCATGAATCAGCCCAACCCAACATAGATGTGCCTGCTGCTTATATTCTGATAGATCATAAAATTACCAGTATTAGAGTAAAAAACTTTAGCTAGGCTTTTTTTTCCTTTATGTAATTTTGTCTTTTTTTTTTTTTTTTTTTTTTTTTTTTTTGCTTTATTTTGTTTTGTTCAATATTCACTTTCAGTGTCTCCTTTTATTCTTATTAAATTCCTGTAGGTCAACTAATAGTTGCCTTTTTTAGTTGAGGAAATTGAGGCCAAAGTAAATTGTGACTTATTCATTGTCAGGACACATAACAAATCAGTTTTAGAACTGTGACTGTACTCCAGTTCTTACCTGATGTCTTTTGTTTTACTTTCTCTTGCGATGTCTAGGTTTAATCTATACACATTGTTCATATTCTAATTTGCTGGTATTACCTCTAGGTTTAACTTTTCCATGCCTTATCTTATTTGTTTTTATATGATTTCCAATCCTTTTAGCATATTTTTGTATTTTGACTGCATTCTGACTTAAATATGCACTAATTCCTATGTCCTTCAGAAGTTGGCTGGCGGGCCGTTTAATTCATCTTCTGTGGCAAGTTTTGTTTTGGCCACCGAAACATAGTTTTTTTCTTGTAGACTGCCATGTATCTAAGAAGGCAAAATCAAGTTTTCAAAGTCACATTCTCACCTTCCTCTTTTCCCTTTGTAGGCCATTGGCCCAAAGCGTATGTCTAAAAGCAGATTCAGGAACAGTGCCACTTGTTACTCCTCTCTGCTGTCCATCCTTCTGTGTCTCAGCCATGGTGATATCTTCAGTTTATTAGCCCCATGACTAAAATACCAAAACCAGTCTTCTGGGAATGTGGTTTGTTTGTTAATTTGGTTTGTGTTTCTCTCTTAGAAGCTAGCAACAACTGAATGCACTTGTTGTTAATAGCTTTATTTGAATATTTTGTGACCATCTTGATTGTCTTGCAGGTACCTGGAGCCCAAGATTTGGTGGATTTTTCTCCTGTTTATCGCTGTCTACACATATATTCTGTCCTGGTGAGTCTTTATCTGGCTCTGCCTAATAAATCCGTATATTGAATTCAAACTCTGCTTTCCCATTTTTGATGGTTTTTCTGTTTGTCATTAAGAATAAGAAAAGAAAAACTTTTATTTAAGAAGTATTAAAAAAATAATCCTTTCTTTTCTTCTTCAATCTTTTTTGTTTGCCATGTAATATGCTATAATTAGTAACATTAATTTCTGTGAGTCATCAACACATTATTAGATTATGCCTAAAAATATTCACACACACATTCAGATTGCAGTTCTTAATTTGATATAGTTATTTCAATAACAATAGCCTATCTTTACATATTAAAATAATATATGTAAAATCTTTTTTTTATTCTTGATGACAGTTGTTCTTTTTGTCAAACAAAACATATAGAAAGGGGAACCTCTCTGGGGGGATCATTCTGTCGGTGTTAGTAATATTCTAAGAAATGGCCCTATCTCCATCTTAGTAGTGCACATACATGCAGACACACAGAGACACCCAACGTCAATCAAAAAATTAAACTATGAGGCTAAAGTTTCATCAAAGACAAATTAATGAGAGAAGTCCATTATTGATATTTTCAATATAGCGAAATTCAGCGAAGCTTCTATGAGGTTCTTTTTTAATATGTTTCAGTATATCTTATTGCCCAGCCTGTTATCCATTTTCTTTCTTCATATATTTAACGTGGTGTCATTTAGTCATAACTCCAGACAGTTCGGGACTGGTGTGTGGACTTTGCGGCCTGCAGTATTTCGTGCTCATCTCCATTACAGAAAAGACCCGGTAGCTTTATTTCCTTTGTTCTCCTTTCTCCTTCCAGTTCTCCCTGCTCTCTAATTAATTCCCTCTTCCTTCTTCCTTTTTTTTCCCTCTCCACTCCTTTTCTTCATCTGTCTTTCCTTGTTATATAAAGATGAAGCAGGATATAGATTGAGTTGTATCAAGGCATCTAATCTCATGTATAGAGAATTAAATAAATCATATATATCTTAGTTTGTGACACACTATTATTATTACAAGGCACCTTTTTGTATTTTGTCATTTTTTTTGTCCATTTGTCTCCTATTCACAAGCCCACTTATTTTTCATCCTCAGCTAACTCTAATATGTTTAATATATGATCACGGTTGTATTTATGTCCTTGAAAAGTATACAGTGATTTTGTTCATATAGGTGTTTTTAATTTACTCAAATGGTGTTATCTTTTGTATCTAGTTCTATTTCTTATATTTTTTTATTCAGCACTATTTCTAATATCTCTCTTTGTTATCATCTGTATATCTAGCTCATTGACTCTCACTTTTGCATGATAGTTAAATGATGGTTTGTATTTGCTGTGTTTTAATTATCTATTATGTTAGTGATCAGCACTTAAATTGCATCTAATATTCTTCTGTAACCAGTAGTACCCTCTTATGTACTTTGTGTAAGTTTCTATGGTTTCTATACTTAAGGGTAGAATTTTTGGATCATATATATATATGTATATATATAATACTTAATTTCACTACTTTTTAATTTTTGCTAAACTGGTGGATATTGAATGATTGATCTTTGTTGTAATTCGCATTTCTCTGATTACTGATAACATTGTGCTTTTCTTTAAAGACTTAACTAATCATTTAAGATTTGTATTGTCTAAACTGCCTATCATTAACCTTTGTTCGATTTTGTATTGGATTTCTTGTTTTTGTATTTTCTTTTTGCTGGAGAGAGAAATTTCAGAAATTTCTTATATATTGTAGATATTGACATTTTAGGTTGTTGCAAATGTTTTTTTTTCCCGGTTTGCTACTAGACTCTAAACTATGTTCATATTATTTTTCATGAAACAGAAATCCTTGACTTTGACGTAATCAAGTCCATCAATTTTTTTAATGCAGTTTGTATTTTTGCATCTTGTTAAAAACAAACAAACAAACAAACCTTTTCTGTTCAAGGTCATAGAGCATTCCCCTTACGTTACCTTTAACATTTTATCATTCACATTTTGATTTTGATATACCTTTGGTTCATCATTGTATATAGTATGAGGTAGAGATCCAACTTAATTTTTTTTCTATATGATAAATTCAGTTTTACCAATCCCAGCTACTACATAAGTTGTCTATCACTGGTGACTCCTGGTAGTACCCCTGGCATACACTAAATATCCATAATTACATGAATCTATTTTGCAGATCTATAGTTTATTGTACATGGTTTTGAAATATATCTGTATAAATGGCAAAAGAAGTCCTTTCTCATTTCTCCTCTTTTAAGTTGCTTTCACTATTTATAGACTTTTTTTCAATATATATTTTAGAATCAGTTTGAGTTCATAAAAAAAAAAATCCTTCTAGAATTTTGGTTTGAATTGATTGAATTAATAAGTAAATTTTGGGAAGAACTGACAGTTTTTTTTTAAATGTTTGACATATTTATTTATTTAATGTTTTATTTTTTAAATTAATTATTTTATTGTGACATTGGTTAACGAAATTCAATAAGTTTCAGCTGTACATTTTAACAGTAGGGCATATATATATATATATCTACACTGTGTGTTCACCTCCCATAGTTAGATTTCTTTCTGTCACCACATATTTGACCCCCTTTACCCTGTCTACCTCCTCCCTCCCTCCTCCCCTCCGGTAACCACTAGTCTTTAGTCCATGTCTATGAGTCTCTGTTTGTTTGTCCTGTTCATTTGTTGCTTTTAGGTTTATATCCCACATATAAATGATATCACGTGGTTTTGAACTTTTTCTGTCTGGGTTATTTCGCTTAGCATAATTATCTCGAGTTCCATCTATGTTATTACAAATAGCAATTTTTCATCTCCTTTCATGGATGAGTAATATTCCAGTTTATATATGTACCACAGCTTCTTTATTCAGTCATCTACCATAGGACACTTCGGTTGCTTCCATGTCATGGCCACCATGAATAATGCTAATATGAACATCGGTGTACAAATATCTGACAGTTTTATAATGCTATGTTACCTCATTCATGAAAGAATAATGTCTACTTTTCAGTTATTTAATTGAGCTTTTTTTTTTTTTTTTTTAATTCCCCCCTTCACATCCACCCCTGACCTATGGATGTTGCCATCTCCCCTTAAGAACTGGATCTCTGAAGGCAGGGCGTCTCCTCCCACATGCTCATGGTGTGCACTGGGGGCCTGGTGCACCTAGGGTATGGTCCATGGCTCCACTGGGGCTTGAACCCAGGACCTTCTGCGTGTAAAGCAAACATGCTAACCACTACTCTATGGAACCACCCCTAGTTGAGCTTTTTTTCTATGCTTACGGTCTTGAGCATTCTTTGTTAGTTTAATAGCAAAATACTTATAGTTTTTGTTGCTATTTTCTAATTAGTTATTAATAGAAACTAGTTATTTCTAATTAGTTATTGCCGATATCGAGGAACACTATTGATTTTTGTAAGATAACTTTACATCTGGCTACCTTGCTCAATTCTTTTATTATAGTTTGTTTTTTGGTTTATGATATGTTTTCTGTGTAATTGGTCATAATGTCTGCAGATATTGACTTTTGTTTCTTTTTTTTTAATCCATATATCTCATTGTTCTTTTTATTGTCTTATTGTATTCACCAGGATCATCACTTTGTTGTTTAGTAAGGTGATAATAGATATTCTTGTCTGATTTCTAATCTCAGAACATAGCTCTACTTTGTCCCTTAACTGATGTTAGCAGTAGGTTTTTGGTATGTATTCATCTGGTTATTCCTAGACTCCTGATATTTTTAAATAAAAACATAAATAAATTTGAGTTTTATTGAATTTGTTTTCTAAATGTATTGCTATAATTCTGTGGTTTTTATCCATCATTCATGAATGTGGTGAATTTCATTGATAGATTTTTATGGTATTAAACCATCCTTGCAATTTTAAGTTAAATCCAACTTGATGAGGACATAGTACTGCTTTTTTTTTTTTTTGAACATCCTGTGGAATTTAAATCAATCAATCTTTCTTTCTTTTTCTTCCTTCCTTCCTTTCTTCCTTCCTTCCTTCCTTCCTCTTTCTTTCTTTCTTTCTTTCTTTCTTTCTTTCTTTCTTTCTTTCTTTCTCCTCCTCCCTCTCTCCCTCCCTCCCTTCCTTTCTTTTTATTTATTTATTGCTCTAAGAGATATTGTACGAACAGTGCCTACCTCAGTCTCTGGCACATAATTAGTACTTAATAAATGGCAGTTAATCTAGTAAAAGTTATGTATCTCTGATGCTGATTAGATACATTATTAGCATTTTAAAAAGTATATGACATAATGTATAAACATGTCGAACGAGGTTCTAGTCTCTGCCATCAACATGCAAAGTTTATCAATTCTTTAAAATTTATACATTCTTAAATATACAAAGACTATATAGTCTTCAACTGTGAAGACTAAACAGGAGGACCTTAAAATTTCCATTTAAAAATGAATGCTGCACACTGGTGTTCTGTGATGTTAAAACATTTGGTATTCATAATTTTTAAATAAAATTTGATAAGTCATTGTTTATATGGTAGAAACAGCCCTCCTCCTTATTTATAATAATTTCTAGGTTTTAAAAAGATGTAACTAGTGGTAAGAACTCAACTCTAATTTTTTTCTGGAATGCATGGTTATTTTTTAGACATTGCTTATTTAAAGACCTACAAGGGCTTTAAATAATAACTCAGATATCTATTTTGCTAAAGGAAGGGCCAGAGTGTGTCTAACTTCTAGGGATGACTCTTTTTAAAGCTTTTTGGGTACTGTAATTTGTCACTTCTCTGTATTTGTTTCATCATTCTCAAATCACTAATTTGTATTATATGGTGAAGGGTAAGTCCACATAATATTAGTGACAACGATATTTCAAAATGGACTACTTAATATAAAGATTTGTAACATAATTATTTTTTTATTTCCTGATGTAGTTAATATTAACATTAGACTTTAAGAAAAGATTTAAGAGAAGAGAAATGAGGACCGAGGAGAAAATAAACCTTATTTCTCTCATT